TTTTAGTACTGCCAGTGCTCAGGGCTTGGATCCTGATTCTCTCAGTGCTATGAAGAAAACATCTCCTGTCCTGCACATGAATAGGCTTCCAACTAATTGGACTTGCACCTAGTCCCCACTTAACATTTGAACAATCACTCTGACCAAAAGGGGCAAAACAGTGGGACCAAACTGTGGCCTCTGGTCAGTATAGATGTTGTAGGTCATTTTAGCAGTCGTTCTCTGTTTTCAATCTCCCTTCGCTTCACACGGAGTTCCCATGCCTCTAACCTTTCTCATTAAAGTCTGCTCACAGTATTAGGATGATGAATGGGACTACGTTAGAAAGTCCATGAATACATGTGAGTTCTCTGATATTTCTGGCACAAAATCTTTAACAGGTATTGTTGAAAAGGCTGAGTGTCAGGAAGGCAGGTATACCTCCTAAATAATATGAACAGAATCACATCATCAGGAAATTTAACATTTTGTTCTGCATCTATTCCGTGTGATTAACAGAATTCAGCAGGCTGCCATGCACAAGCAGAAATCTCAGTTCAATTCCCTTGTCTTTCTTCTCTTGACACTACCGAAGCAAAGAATTGCATATAAGCCACAGGACTTCAGAGTGTTAGCCAGTATCCAGCAGCCTAGGTGTATCTTAGGGTGCGTCTTCTGCTCCTCTCCTACTCCTGCTTCTTTGTGTTCACTTCTGGAAGGCTAAATGTTTAGATGTAGGCAAGAGGGCCTTGCTGCCAGTGAGGAAAGAGTTGTAGAAGATAAAGGAAGGTTACTCCAGTTTTGTTTGCAGGAAAAAACAGGTGAGAATAAGTAGATACAGAATACCATATCTCCTGAGAAATGCCACATAAGAGAAATAGGAGAAGCAGCATCTAGTTTTTCTGCTCCGTTGTGATATATGCAGACAGCAGCCTAGAAAACGTTGGGGAACTCTAATGAATCTCTCTGAGTTGTGTCTATGGTGCTGATTGCCACTGTTCCCGCAGAAGCCACTTGTATTTGTGATTTGGAGATGTTTTCAGCAGGCAATGAAATATTAGCCGCTATTTAAAAAATGTACTGCATAATTGCAGAAGATAGCATGTTCCCGTTCTAATTAGAAATGAATAACTAATACCTGAAGAAGCCTTGTGTAGCATCTGTAGGTAAGTAATGCTCTTTTTAAAGGAATCTACGCATGTAAAAATGCATAATAAGCTGGTGAATAGTAAAGTTTAGATACAAAATACTGAAGAAAAAGAATCACTATTCCATGGAGAAATCTAAGCGGAGTTTGAGATGTTTTTCTTAAAGAGATGCAAAATATATTGCTAGCAAATTATGTTCTTCTTAATTGCCTATATACCAATAGGGCAAGAACACTTTCTTCTTATGAAAAGTTTGTCTCCGGCTCTTCATGCCACATTCACAAAAACATTTAGACATGGCAATGCTTCTCCTTCCACCAATGTGCGTCTTTGTATAATAACTGTGCTTGCAGTCATTTTCCAGTACAGGGCCCAACTGGCTTGACCCATGCACAGTGACTCTTATAACCTTTAAACATCATGACTGTAGCAACCTATTCACTGGGAATGGGAGTGTTTCCAGTAATCATCTCATCTAGCTCACTGCTAGTGTTGAGATGTGCCCAAACTGCTGGGATATGACAGGGGAATGTAGCCTCTATTCACCATGTAGACAGTCATTTGGAATGTGTATAGCCAGACAGCAGGTGGGCAGGTCTTCTGATACTATATATGTTGAAGATGTTTGCTGAAAGCACCAGTATTGTGTCTAAATCCATACTTTTGTAGATTCCATTTTTAACTTATGCAAAGCTCCCATTTCTTTCCCATACTAGAATTCATAGCTTCTAATCATTTTTATCTGTGCTATGGTATTGCTAGGTCTCTACAGAGAGTGCTCACGAACTGAGTAATGAACTTTAAATCAACTGAAAAAATGCCACTGAATTGTGAATAGAACTAGATCTGGACCCTGTAAAAAATGCAACAGTTCTGCAGCTTAATTTAATTCCTGCATTTGGTGAGGTGTTAATAGGACTACAAGGCCTAAGTTCAGGGCTTTGATTAAGCAAAAACAACTCTTCTCTCTAGTCAGAACTGCATATGCCATTCAAAATTTGATTCTGACCTCAAATATCTGTACACCATGTTTTCATTGCCTTCTTTGCATAAATGTACAATCCTGAAAGATGTTTGAACAAACTTATTTTATAGAAAGGAATAGAAATATATAAAGGGTAAGGCTTCAGGCTTGCAAACAACAGCAATACCTGAAAAACCCTCTGTTCTGCTATTGATCCAAAGGAGTGCTGGAAACATTACTATGGCAACAATTCTTACCCAGTGGAAGAAGTATGCCATTATCTGTGCACAGGAAAAAAAGAAGAGGGGGTGTTTTTCAGAGCTGTTGCCTACCTCCCCCGGACCACTACAGAAGTGCTGACCTTTGGGCATGAGCTCCTGCTGCAGAAGCTTTCAGTGAGATATGACCTACAGAATTATTTATTGGCCCATGCACAGAGAATAAAGCAACTGCACTGAGTAAAAGAGTCCTGACACAGAAAACAGCACTGCACGGAACTCCTGTTTTCTAAGAGTATCAAACATCTTCCTTACAATGTTAACAAGCTGAGTTCTCATTGTGAATAAAGGAGATAAGAGTGTTCTGGCCCACTGTGCTGTTCATGCCATGTGGTTGGATGCCACTTGAACCTTTCACAAGTACAGTTATTAACTCAAAAAACTAATGAGCATCTAATTTTGCCACATTCTTATTGCGAATCAGTTCATGCTAAAGTACAAATCTGCTGGTGTTGTGGTAATGGCATTATTCGGTCTATTAATTAGCAACTAGAGTAATAAAGCCAGCAAGAAACCATTTCATATCATATGGCTAAATTGAAAGTCCAAATCCCATATAGCCTGAAGGCAGAATTGCGAGCTAATCATATTCCAGGTGTTTGTGACACTTAAGAAGCTGTCTGTGGCTCCTAGCTGCATATGTCATTCTCTGCTTTACATATGGGTAACATAAAGGAGGACTGTGACTCTGCCTGCTGTCCCTAACTCTGGGGATGGGAGTGACACTGCCTACAAGTCCAGGAAGACTGTTCTTCCTGTAAATGGCTGAGGAAAATGGTTGTGTGGGAGATGGTGTCAAACTAGGAGAGAAAAGGAGCAGCCTGGAAGAAAGCTTCCAAATATACACTCCCACTGCAGCAACACTTTATGGCTGTCCTGAGGCTGGGGAGAAGAACAAGCAGCTGCAAGCTCTTTCCAAGCTGTTTGTTTTCCAAACTTCTCTCTGGGCAGCCAGTGGCACAGCCAGCTGTGAGAGCAATGCAAGTAGGTGTAACAGGTCTGCCCACTCGGAGCTCAATGCTGCTCCAGAGACACCGCACAGCAGAAGCCAAGTGCATCTTGCCCATTGCTGTTGCTAATGTTATCCCTTTATTTTTCAGAACAGAATAATACAAAGAGTTATAAAGCAAGAGAGAGAACCTGGGCAGAAGACAAGCTTTAGAAAGAGACTGAGACTAAGACCAAGTATGTGAAGGAATGGAAAAGACATTTGTATTAATACACAAAGTATACAAAATGTCATCTGGGTGTTTATTATGTCTCTGCTGAAAATTCTGCTGATTATTCTGCAGAGATAACAAAGATTTATTTCTTCCAGAGAAGCATGTATCCCTGCTGGCCCTGAAATTATTCCTCTTTCCTTTATGGTAGCTTTTTCCTTCATCCCATCACAAGCAGCTACAGTGCCACAAGATATGCATACATCAGTGTGTATGCACAGATATATATAATGTACATATAGATATACCTACAAAAGCGTGTTGAAAATGTCTCATTGAAAGAAAAACTAGAATTGGATGCACACTTGAACTTATTCACTCAGTCATTTTCCCTTTCCTAGACATAGTTCTTTTTATTCAGTATTGACTTTGTTTTCCAGTTCTAGATGACTTTGGGTCCTGAAGAGATAGAAAAGGAACTATTATTATTACTATTATTTTAACAACATTGAGACTGACAGCTTCATGAAGTTTATTGAATGAGCAATGGTTCATTTCCCATCCGCCAGCATTTTCATACTTCTCCAACTTCCTCTGCATTCAACGGTGCAGTATCTGAGGGCATACCAAGTACTTCATAAAAGCAATAACCTTTCCCTTCTACCCTTTTGGAAAACAGATTGGTTGGTTACAGGAATTTTCTTCCACATCTTCTATGGGAAGACATGACTAAGGAAAGGCTAAGTCAGAGGGGTAAAACACACAGACAATCTGAAGTGCAGTGAAGCCTTTGCTCCTTTCCAGCTCCTACAAAAGTGGGTTTCACACCATCCAGGTCCAGCCCTGCACTTGCAAGCATCCCTACTGATTGCATTTTGTTTTGCTGGGAAATCTTGCTGGAAGTTGTCCAAGTTGAGGGGGCACTCCGCAATAGCTCAGGTTTTCGGAACACCAGAGACCACAACACAGGCTCTGTGCACAAGGTGGGAGCATCACTTGCCAGCAGGCCTTGTGCACATCCCGCTGTTCTGCACACCCAGCACAGGCTTTCATCACCACCCTCTCCTCGGCACATGGCTGCTTTTTTTGGCTCCATCCAGACCTCCTGCACAGGGCTCTGGTACATTGGGGCTGAAAGGCACCGTGAAGAACCTAAGATGGCATTTTAAGTGACAGAAGCCAGCCACAGAGGTTCAAACCCAAATAGTTGTGCTCTTTTGTTTGTTTGTTTGTTTGCTCATTTGTTTGTTTTCTGGACCTGGGAGAAGAACGTTATTTCAGGGCCACTCCCGATGGAGTGCTATTAAGTCGGCCGACCATTTTATTAGGAAACATGGGCTTGAGCTCGTGCAGTTTTTCTGTCAGGACTGACAGGTGAGCCAAGAGGCGACAAGCAGCACCAACTCCCCGCAGCTGACGGCCCCGGGCGGCTCCCAAGAGCCAGGCAGAGCAGGGCAGGGCTCCCGGGCGCGGCTCCTTGTGACGCCTCAGGAGGCTGCGAGCGGGCGGCCATGGCAGTGCGGGCGAGTGGCCACGCTCTTCTCCTTCTCCTCCTCCCGCCGCTGCTCACGGCCCTGCTGGATGCGGAGCCGCAGGGCTCCGGGGACGAGAGCGAGCGGGCGGAGCCGGCGGAGCCGGGTGAGGCGGGGCCGGCGGGGCTGCGTGCCCTCCGCTGCACCTTGTGGCTGTGGCGCGGGCGGTGCTGCTCGCCGCGCTCTGAGCCCATAAGCGGCAGGCCTCGACGCTCGGCGAGGGCAGCAGGCCCGGCGGGCTCCTTCCCCTGGGGCTCGCTGCCACGACCCGGTGTTGCCCGCTTCCCTGGGCTTTGGGAGCGTTTATCAGAGTACCCTGCTTGTATTCTGTGATGCAGCTTGTAATTAAAATGGTGTCTAACGGCAAAGATTTCTGTTCTACATAGGTTTTACAAGGCTTCCAAATGCAGAGAGGAATACAGGCTGCCTTTGCGGTGCTGGTGCTAATTGCAGCCCCCTGACAGGAATGCAAATGCGGTTCCTCAGCACGTTCTTATCTCAGCATGTGTGGGATTTACATATATAACTCCTATTAATGCTAATGGCAGCTATATCCATAATTCTCTGTGCGGAGCTGACGCTATATTTTTATCTGAACTTGATGCAACTGGAAACAGACATAGAAGTGGAAAGATGGGTGGTTTCTTATGGGGAGCTCTCTTAAAGTTCTGGCTCATTTTACATGAAAAGGAAGATGCACAAACTTTGCATTGTAGCACTGGTATGGAAGGTTCAAAATATTCAGATAAAAAGTACCGTCTAATCCTGAAAATGATCAGCAACTCTGATCCTGTTTCCCTTAATGTTTCTTTCTGTTGTTTTTTAGATTCCATGCAATCAGAAATTGAATCAGAAATCAGTACCGGTGATTCCTGACTGGCTTGTTAATTTAGAACCAGCGAGCTTTTAATGCTTAGATATGTGCAGAGGTTTACTGGGAGTGTTTTTACTTGGACAATATGGCATCTTTTTTTATTTAGAGCTATTGTCCATCAGTTCATCACTCTCATTCTCTGGCAGAAGAGTAATGGCTGTATGTTTTAGTGCTCCTGGAGCCAGAAGCGTTCCAAAATGACACTGTGGTTGGTATCTTCCTCTATAATCAGAAGACATTTGCTTTCATTGGCAGCAAAGTCCCTCGGCCTTCTAATAGTAATACCTGAAGTTTACTGTCTCTGCTTGCTTAAAAGATTTTTTTTTTTTTCCCCACTTTGTGTCTAGATGGCAAATGACAGCTTCTGTTTTCAGATACAACCCCCTGCCATGGCTACTGTCCCATTAGCTAAGAGAAGAATGATAGGGTGTCTGAGATGGCAACTGTCTTCTAAAGAAGTGATTATTTTTTAAAGCTCATTAGATATAATGTTTGAGGATACCCAAGCTGTTTTACAGGTTGTCTCCATTTTTATATGATTTTAAGTCTTATATATTTATATTATCTTATGCTTTGACTAAGGTTGGAGTCTTACTTTAGCATGCAACTGAGTAGTTAAGTTATTGTTTCAGGATTGTTGTGCGTAAGCTAGAAGACTGTTCTGATGAGCACAGTTTATATGCTGAAATAAATGTCAAAGCCATAGAGACAGTTAGAGATAACAGAAGAATAAGATTTTGATGGCTCATTTGTAATGTTAGGAAAAAAAGAGTCCAGTATCATTTTATCATTGTGGAGAATTCAGCATGTTGCTATACTGTAAATCCTTTGCAGTGGAGGAATAAATATATTTGTATACCACTGACTGCAAGAGAAATGAAACTGTTCCTTTCAACCTGAGAAATTTAAGTTTTAGTCAGTGTGTGGAAAATGTAAATGTTATCCAAAGATTTAAAAGCAAGAAGTGATATATAAACTTGCACTGGTACACAGGAATAACACTTGGTAAACATAAATCTTGAATATAAAAAAACTGAGAGACAGTGAAAGCAAATTTACATTAGTATTTGTTATCAGAAAAAAATAATCTGAGTAGGCTGGACTGGCAGTGTGGACTTGTAAAAACAGTCATAGTGACTTGTCTGTTCTCTCTGCATTTGGAAGAACTAGAAAGACCTATTGCTTATTTAATGACTAATTTCCAAAGGTGCATCGCTAAGTTAGTTTCTTGATGGAACAATTACTGTATCTTAATGTCCTTATATACAAACATTCAGATTTGTGTGCTATTAGGAATAAAATACATAATCCAGATTTCAATTCCAGATGGAGACAAGAACCTTTTGCTTCTGTACGTTCTGTGAAACCCATTCTGTAACCTTAAAGCACCATGAAAAATGGAAGGAACCCAATCACTGTGATTAAATTGCCCAGTACCTAATTAAATCGCTGTACCTGGTTGACTCATCTTTGAGCTAGCTGTCTAAAACTGACCTTGAAGAGTGATGGGGAAAAAATCATGTGGGAAGGCTTATGTTAGCCAAAAAAACAAAAAACAAAAAACAAAAAACCCCACAAACCAACAACAACCAAAAAACAAAAAGACAAAAGAACAACAAGGAAATGAGTTGACTGAACGCAATTTAATGAAAATTTTTCTTAACTCTTTTCAGGGAGGACCTATAATTTGCATAGAATCTAGACACTGCATTTTCCTGAGCATTCAGTAGGCTAATTTAAGATAAATTGTTTCATAAGAAAAATACATTTTTCCCTCTTAACAAATCATCTTAAGGTTTAAATATGAATGCTATTCACAGTAGATTTTATGAACTGAATTTCATAAATGTCTTGTTTTTTCTGGTGCAGAAATGTTGGCAAAATTCTCATTTCAAATAAAAAGTAATAAAGGCATGAGTTTGCTGTTATTGGGGTGTTTCCACCCCTCCATTGTATTGGAGATGTAACTTCAGGCTTTGTGTTCAGGTCTGAATGCCCTTGAGACCACAGAACAAGAATTTGGAGAATGCACAGTTACATGTGGTAAGTAGCAAAGCAGATGAATAAAACATATTGTCATTTGCTTTTGGGGGGAAAAAAAGTGCTAACTGTAGCAATTTAGCAGTTGTAATTTGCATGCCCTCATTCACCTCTCATTGATTTCAATTGCCAATAACTATAATTAACAAAAACAATCAGGCTGATTGTCATTAGAAGTTTAGGTCAGATCTGTTGTTTTATTAAATTCACAGCCTGCAAGCTCCTATTTTAAACCAGTTCCCTACGTTTATTGGCACATGAGCTGCTTTCCCCAAAGTAACAATTTTCGCTATTTGTGAACATCTGTGAGATGTTCAGAAGATGAAAGATCTTCTGATGCTTCTCACAGATGTCTTCCCACATACAATATTGCCAAAAAATTGCTTGCCTGCAGTAGCCTGTTCTGTATTCCACATTTATACAATTTATAAATTGTGCAATGGAGAGAAGAGGTATCATTCTGGAGTAGGAAGGGAGAGAGGAAAAATGAGTTGAGCCTTAGGAAGACATCTCTGTGTTTAGGGTGGTGATAGAAACTGCTGTGAGGTGGTAATTATACTGCTTAGGAAGCAGGCTTGAATCAGAAATGCTGTTAATTTTTTTTTTTTTTCTGAACAAATTTTGCTTCTCGTGAGACCACAGAAAAAAGAAAGAATTTTTGCCTCCATCATTTTGATGTTCTCTGGAGTGTACTTTTATATTTCTCCAGTCACTTTTTCATATTTTCAGTGATATAACTGCCTTGGTTACCTCAGGATAACTACTTCGGATATTAGGATGTTATGGTTTTAGAATATATCATTTTTGCCTCTACATACTTTAATATTTCCTTTTCTTCTTAATTTCAAAGCTGGTTATGTATTTGGTATGCCCATACCATGTGTGTACTCTTGGTAATCTCACTTGCTTTGGAGCACACATGTTTAGGGTACAAGAAGCTGCTCTTTACTTCCCATGCCTCTAGAAGACCACTCAAATATTGCTTATCTTCAGAGAATTTCAGTAAGTTTTTTTGGTCCCTTGAAGTTAATGTTTAACCCTTCTAAAGTTAGAAAGTATATAATTTCACTAAAGAATCAAGAAACTAAAGCTCTAAAAGCAACAACAGAAGATCATCATCTTGTGACTGCTCTTCAAATCATGTTTGTAGCCTTCATTCTAGCCTGGGCTGTTCAATTCCTTGCATGTTTGTCTGTTGAAAGGCTGGAAGATACTGTATTATTTCTTCCAGTAAAACTGTAAAGCTCTTTGTCTACTTCCAGTTCTTTCTTATTCCTTATATTCATCTATCTAGCCCTGTATATTTATTGGTTTCTAAACAGACTCCACTTTCTTATTTTTTTTTTCAAGTAATGCTATGGCTCAGATCCCTTGTTCTCTCTATTCATAGTCCATGTTTACAGAGGCATTAAAGCACAATTAATGCATATATTAATTATATCATATCTGCCTCAAGTCTTTATCAGTCTCTCTATGGTCCAATTCTTTTGGCAACTACCTCTAGATTTCTCTCAGCCTCTGTTTTTCTATTGCTAATTCAGTTCTCTGTGGGTCATCCATCCTGCCTCCCCCAGTCTATTAATTTACGATTTTCCAAGGTAAATTTCATTAGGGTAATTTATTTTTACCGCATCCAAGCCAGTTTTCTCTTAGGTAACTTGGATGACTTGGTGAAGTTAAGCCTTCATTCTTTAGAGCCTCTCAGTAGATTAATTTCATCAGCATTGACAGTTGCTAAAAAGGGGTGAGGAAAGGAAACATGGGAGTGAAAAAAGAAAGCTGTCCAGAAAGAAGCAGCAGAGGAGTACTAAGAGAACTTGCAGATCTCATTAAAAGAGCTTTTTTTTCTTATCAGCCCTTTGAGTGTGATATACTTCCTCAATTTTAATATTGCAATAGATAAGACATGGTGAGATTTTTCTCTGATGAATGTGATTACATTTAGCCCAGCTTTTATCGAGCCATCCTTTTGGATTTTCATAGGTTTCCTATCTTATTTTTGTTAGCTAAAAAAAACCTACATGGCCCTGAAAAAAGAGGAATGCCTTTAATAAAAGTGTCAGTTCACTGCCATTTACACCTCTGTCTCCGCATCCATGAGATGAGACATTCTCTGGAGCGGAGAATGATCCTCTTTTTGTGTCATTTTCAGTAAGTGGTGTTGTCTCCCTCTGTCACTTGAAGTACTGTTTCACGAGTAGCATGACATCTCTGAAAGCCATCGGTTTATATAATATACATTTAAGGAAGGCATATGCATCATACGCGCAATCTTCAAACCAATTCCCCATGTATTATTATACTGCAAGGCGGGGGTAACTCTCCTCTTTCCATGCCTGTTAGTAAACAAAATGCTTCTGGAAAAATGGCAAAACCTTTTTCTGTTTACTGGGCTTCAACATATTATTCCTGCCTCCCCCACAAGCTATGTCATTCCAGTGAACTGTGTACACACAGTTTGGCAAAAACAATTAGAGCACTTGTTTTGAATTTCCTCATAATTGTTAAAATGAGGATGTTCTCATTGAAACCCTGATGAAGAGAGTGAACATATTTTGCTTACTTGAACGCTGTGTAGGAATTTTCCTTTGCTTTACACATTTGTGATAGCTTAGCTCCCATTTTTTGCCTTCAGTGGGAATCACCATGTTGCAATTGGAATCCTGGTGTTCTACATTTGTATTTACCAGCTTCTCATAGGGAGCCCTGTGTTGCTGACCACCAGCTTTTGAGCACCTAGAAGCTTCATTCTGGAGGCAGTGGTAGTATTCCTGTATCACTTGCTGTAGTTACCCTTAAGGCTCCTCAGTCCGAGTCCCAGGAGGGTTTAGTGCCTTCAATTTCTGCTGACCTCGGTGGGAACTGAAGACACTCCATCAAAACTGGAGGCAGGCTGAGTTGGCACCCTGCATGGTATTCTCTGTGCCATCTGATTTAAGCATTTAAAGGCCAGGAGATAGAATGCTTTGATACTTAAAGTGAATTAACTGTTTTGCAGAACATACATATTAGTAGCTTCATTTCAAATACTTTTTCTGAAAGAACAGTTTTGAATTAATATTGAATTCTTCTGACACACAGGAAAATGATGATTGTAAGGATCTGGCTCCCTGTGGTGCAGAGTCTGACAGATGTAAATGTTGCTTTGAAATCTTAGATACCAACACAGGATAGCTTTAGCAGGCACTCTGAGAAGATCTGTTTTGCCTAGTGTTTGCTAGATACATCATATTAACATCTAGAATAAAGAAAAAAGCAAGAACAGAATATGGAGAAAATGAAGAAGTATAGAGTATAATTTTTTTTTCTTTTTTTTTTTCCTGAAAGGGATTGGCATTCAAGAAATTCTGTTAACAAGTGGATGCCCTGGGGATGAAGCAAAATGTATTGTTGGTGTGAAGGAATGCCGTGGACCAGTGGACTGTGGATGTGAGTGGAACACTGTGATGTAGTAATCTAAAGCAAATAAGTGAATTCAAGTGAAGCATTCGTATTTGTTGAGTGTCGTGGAAGTGGAATGCAATTATTATATTCCACCCTCCAGTTACCCTGTTCAACAATCTGGTAGTGTTTACGATCTCATTTTTGTACTAATGTGCATTTGGTTTCAAGCCCCTGTAAAACACCATTTTTCTTCTATGTGCTTAGTTCCAGATATTGCACTAAGCAAAAAAATATTTGAAGTAATTTTAAAGGAAAGGATAATTTCCAAGTAACATTCTGTGGTTTGAAGAATGATGAGCTTTATGATCCATACAGAGATGTTTCATATAGTTGATGATGTACCTATTAAAAATCCCTCCTGTAGGGGGAAGACCAATTTCTGAGAACTCTACAAGCGTGATGATGACTTGTATTTATATCTCTCCTGAAAATCGATTTAAATATATTTGGAAGATCTTAATTCCAGACAAGGTGAGTAATTGAACTGCACTTTGCACAGAAAAACTGCGTAAAAGATGTGTTTATTGCATGCTCCATGCAAATGTTAAAGCATCTGTGCTGATTATTTCCTTTGCTGTTACAATGCAAATAAGCTCTGATTTGTTACGAGCAAGTTAGTTTATATGGCCTTGCACTTTTATGCAACTTCAATTTCCTCTTTTTGTAGGGGGGACAATAATTTTAGAGCTTCTTCCTTCTTACTTTAGAGAAGCTGAGCATTGTGATTGATGAGTGAATGCATCTTATCAGGTCACAATCACATTGCACTTCCCAGTTGTTCTCATAGGAGGTGCTGAAGAGATGGAAGGGATTTCCTCTGATTGGTTGAAAACTGTTGGAAGAAACCAAGCACTTTTCTGTGAATCTGACATGATGTAACTCTGCTTTGCAGATGAACTTAAAAAGAGACAAACCTTTTTTTTTTTCTTTTATATATGGACAGCCAGCAAGCATTCTTCCCAACGATTCAGCTGTTGTGGTAGTACGCAGAGCTACACGTTCAGTTACTTACCTGTGTGAAACTCAAGAAAATGGAAGTATAATTGCCTCTGTAAAATACGCAGTGAAAGCAACAACTGGTAAGCTCGTAAAGATGTTTACAGTCTTCCAGTGTTATGGCCTTGTGTTTGTTGTGTGGCATTTGATTTTCATGGGATTGCATGTCACCGGTAATATATAGGCAGGGGCTTGTGTGTGGTAATGATTGTCATGAAATACAGGCCAATGAAAGAGACATAAAAAAGAAAATGACAGGATGGGTACAAAGGGGTTCCTTGTGGAAGAAATATTTTCTTTGCCTTCGTAAAAATTCAAGCTAAAATAAGGAGATTCTCCTGTTACCTACTCATTTGTTACCGCACCCAGGTTGGTTAACACAGACTTCTTTTCGTCTCTTTGAGCTACATAGAACCAGCAGCACATCAGACAGTTCTGCAGTTAAGTCTCCTTTCCACTTCAGTACTGAAGCTGTAAAACAACCTTTTGAGATTTTTCTTTCAGCTGCCATCTGGAATTTGCTTATGCACAATAGATTTAGGGAGGTTTAACTTTGAAAAGAATATTTCATATGGCAGTTCCCCATAACATCTTTCTCTCCTGCTCTGCTAGCTAGATTTTTGCTGACTCCATAAGGAAAGGTAACAGTGTGCTGATTTTTTCAAATCATGGGAGTAGCCATGTGAAAACTCCAGCTTTTTTAATCAGAGAAAGGGTGAAAGTTCCCTGTGCATTTTTTCCCCCCAAAATAATATAGGTTCAGGTCTTTTTTTTCTGAAAAATCATGGCAGACTAGAAAGAAATAAATAATTTGTGAGACTTATCTCCATGAGAGATGTTTTTTGCCTCCACTCCTAATCTTCCTTTTTTTTCCCTTCAGCAAAATGTATGTCTCTTGAGGTTCTTTCTTTCACTGTACATGAATGAGAATTTTATTTTCTAAATCCATCTGGTAGTCACAAAACACCCAAATCTTTGGTTACATCTATTTCTTTCTTTCTTTCTTTCTTTCTTTCTTTCTTTCTTTCTTTCTTTCTTTCTTTCTTTCTTTCTTTTTTAATAACTTCTGCAGTGTTTAGTTTCTGCATTTCTTTTTGTACAAAAAGTTTCCTTTTTGAGACCTGAATTAGCTGAGCACATAATCTGTTTTTGGCTTAAATATGCAAATAGTCCCATTGATTTGAGTTGGTGAGTCATCAATAGGGCTACGTGTTTGTATTTAAACTTTGGTTGAGTTGTAGTGAAAAGTGGTCAAATGAAACCCACCCAACAGATACACCCGTTGAAAACTTCTTACAAGGATTGAGTCTGTTGGCTCAGAAAATATTTATGAGTAGACTGAAATCTGAAGAAGAGCAGTTCTAACATTGATTAAGTAGTTAAAAAGGTTAATTGTTCTGCCTAGTGCCAGACTGGCTTCCTTTAGCTTTGTTATCCAAAGGAGTTTCTGGGCTTTAGTTTATACTGCCATTGCTTGGATTTCAGATATTATTAGCTCTTAATTAGGTACATGGAACAATTTATCAGCGGAAGCTGGACTGAGAAAGTACCAAGACTTTCAGCATATCTGGTATTGCTGTCTGTAGCACAGAATCATAGAATGGCTTAGGATGGAAGGGACCTTTAAGATCATCTAGTTCCAACCTTCCCACTATGGGCAGGGTTGCCAGCCACTGGATCATGCTGCCCAGGGCCCCATCCATCCTGGCCTTGTGTGCCTCCACCAGGGATGAAGCATCCACAGCTTCTCTGGACAACTTGTGTCAGTTCCTCACCACCCTCTGAGTAAAAAAAATTCTTCCGAACATCTAACCTAACCCTCCCCTCCTTTAGTTTAAAGCCATTCCCGCTTGTCTGTTACTATCTGTCCATGTAAAAAGTCAGTCTCACTCCTGCCTTTGAGCTCCTCTCTAGCAGTGGAAGGCCACAGTGAGGTCTCCCCAGAAACTTCTGCAAGCCAAATTCCCTCAAACTTTCTTCATAAGAGAGGTGCCCCAGCCCTCTCATCATCTCTGTGGCCCTCCTCTGGACCAGCTCCAACAACTCTGCACCCTACCTGTACTGGGAGCCATTGCTTGGACACAGTACTCAAGATGGGTCATCACAAGCGCAGAACAGAGGGGGACAATCACCTCCCTTGCTCTCCTAGCCACTCCTCTTTTAATGCAGCCCAGGATAGTGTTGGCCTTCCAGACTGCAAGAGCACACTACTGGCTCATGTCCAATGTTTTGTACACTAAAACCCTCCAGTCCTTCTGTGCAGTGCTGCACTCAATAAGTTCTTCTCGGCAATATCTGGGATTGCCCTGATCCCAGTGCAACACCTTGACCTTGGCCTTCTTGAATCTCATTAGATTCATGTGGGCCCACTTTTCAAGCCTGTCTGGATCCCTCTAGATGGCATCCCTTCCATCTATTGTGTCAACTGCACCAATAAGCTTGGTGTCATCAGCAAACTTACTGAGAGTACCCTGCATCCTACTGTCTATGTAATTGATAAAGATGTTGAAGAGCACTGGTCCCAAGACAGACCACTGGGAGACTCTACTCATGACTGGCCTTCACCTGGAAATAGAGATCTCTGGCAGCAGTCATCCAAGCAATTCTTCATCCACCAAATAGTCCAGCCTTCATATCCATATCTCTCCAATTTAGAGATAAGGATGTGGAGTGGGACCGTGTCAAAGGACTTGCACAAGTCCAAGTAGGCAACATCAGTTGCCCTTTCTTTGTTCAGTGATGCTATGACTCCATCATAGAAGACCATGAGATTGGTCAGGCACAATCTGCCCTTGGTAAAGCTGTGTTGGCTGTCTCAGATCACCTCCTCGTCTTCTATGTACCTTAAAATCTCTTCAGGGTGGGTCTGCTCCGTGATCTTCCCAGGCACAGAGGTGAGGTTCACCATCCCGTAGTTTTCCAAGTCTTCCTTTCACCTTTTCTTGAAAGTGGGAGTGATATTTCCCTTTTTCTAGTCACCTGTGCCTGACAGCCATGACTCTTCAAATATGGAGAATAGCTTTGCAACTACATTAACCAGTTCTTTCAGGACCCTGTGATACGTCTCATCTGTCCTTATAGACTTGTACACATTCAGCCTTGTGAGATGGTCTCTGACTTGCTCTTTTCTTACACCAGGAGGGATTTTGCAACCCCCTAACAATGGGGAGCAAAATGGTCTTTGGATGGTCACACATATAGTAAGATCAGAATACTGCATTTAGTTTTCCAGTATGATCAGGAGGATGTTACAAAGATCATTCTGGCAGCATCAATGCATGTGGCAAAATTCCATGTGCTTGGTTTTAGATTTTCATAGCTGTTGTCTTCTGTTTTGCAGAGATGCTCTGCTCTCTAAGAGCATAGCTTGCTGTGTTCCAGGCTTGGAAATGGGTAGTGTTTCTTCCCACATAACAATGCTGTCTTTTCCAGTTTCTAATTAAAAGATCTTTTGAAATGAGGGCTGGGGAATTTGAGACTTAATTTAAGCGAGGTGGTTTGTCTACCTACTCCAGTCTTACCGTTCAGAGAACACCTTTTTCTGTTTTCCAAGATGAGATGTAAAGAGGGGTAGAATCACGAAGTCACCATCAGAAATAAGACAGAAATCTCATTTTTCACATATAGGACTGAATTGGATTTTTTTTTTTTTAGCATCAAAAACAAGTCCAAAAGATTTCTAATCACCATAATATGGACAGGTGTGATGGGCTGCCCTTGGATGACTGCCAGACCCTGCTGAACTGCTCTCCCACTCCCCCTTCTCAACTGAACAGGGGGAAGAAAATAAAATGGAAAACTCATGGGTCAAGATAAGGACAGAGAGATCACTTACTAGTTATCGTCACAGAAAAACAGACTCTGCCTGGGGAAAATTCATTTAATGTACTGCCAGTTATGATAGGTTTGGTTGGTGAGGAACAAAGACAAAAACTACGACACCTTTCCTCCTGCTTCCTTTTTCCCAGGCTCAACTTCACTCTTCCATTCCTAACTCTTCTACCCCATCTCCTCAAAAGTACAGGTGGATGGGGAATGGGAGGCTCTAGTCAGTCCATAAGAGTTCCTCTTTGCCACTCTTTTCTCCTAATGCTTTTCTCCCATGAGTTCTCCATGGGCCACAGTCCTCAAGATAAACCTGGTTTAGTACGGGCTCTATGGGGATCATATTTCCTTCAGGGAACCCCTGCCTGCTCCATCATGGGTTCCTTCACAGGCTGCAGCATGGAGATCCCCTCCAGTTTGGTTTCCCATGGGCTGTGAGGTAATCTCTGCTTCGTTTTCTTGAATCACAGAATTACGGAATCACAGAATCACAGAATGGCCAGGGTTGGAAGGGACCTCAAGGATCATGAATCTCCAATCCCCCTGCCACATGCAGGGCCACCAACCTCCTCATTTAATGCTAGAGAGTACCCCCTCCCATTCTGAGGTTGATGTCCTATATATTACTTTCTAAATGACTTTTTTTTCCTCCAACCAAAAGGCATCAGAGGTCACTCAGATGCACAAACTTTAGTTTGTATTTCATCTTTCTCATCACCTATATCCCTCCCTGTGCTATTCCAAAGTGATAAATTTCCTTGTGATAGTGCCAGAACTGCAGGATGGAGCTAAGGAACCAGAGTTGAGCTTGCTTAGTGGGAGTCACTTCTTCTTGACACTTTTCTAGGGAGAAAACCTTGAAGTGGTCAACAAGGCAGCCGGTAAGGGGCAAATGTATTTGTTTTGATCTCATCCTTTTTCCAGTTCCATTGTTCTACCTGTGTGAAAAACAGTGGCCAGATTTGGAAATACCGTCTATGAACCTGACATCAAAGACAACATTTGAAAATATGTGCTGTGACACTGAGTTCAGATTTTCACACGTGAGGTGGGAGGATGGGAGAGCATGCTGCAAAAGGACTAGTAAGGCCTTACATGAATGTGGCTGTATGTGACATGTGGCAAAACATTGTATGAGTTGATTTTAATGCTATGCACAAAGAAATTCCATGTGTCCTTTACCACTGATCACTATGCTTCTCAGTGACCTTTTGTTGAACAATGGTAATGACCTTTTTGTATGAGTGAGTGGTTTTTA